TGTAGCACTTATTGCCTTAAGCAGCAATCAGCTGCGTTAATAAAGACATTTTAAATGCATTTCCAAAGCAGCTACAAACAGCTGAAACATGTTCTAAGCTGAAGAGGAAGGAATTGCTCTCACTGCTTGAAAGAAAAAAGACCAACAGTATCAGAGGGGCCAGCTACTCTAGGAGAGAGGACAGGGATGAATGCTCTATTCTCCCAAAAGAGGGTTCCCTGTTTACATTAATTAGATAAACCGGTGAAAAAAGGGGAAAGAAATCTTGTGATAGAAAGAATTTCTCCAAAATCTATGTGACCCTTAATGCTCTGTCTGTACAACACAGAGTCTATAGGAACAGAGTGAACTATGACAAAGAAACCAGTCAGGAACAAAATACTGCTCTGGTATGTATCAAGACCAATTACTACAGTGCTGTGCAGGGGTCTCTAGATATCACCCTCTACAAGCACAAAGGAGCAGCCTCACTTTCACAAGCCCTTGTCCTCATGGGGCACTTCAACCACACCAGTATCTGTTGGAAGGACAATACAGCAGGGCATAAACAACCCAGGAGGTTCCTGGAATGCACTGATGAGAACTTCCTTCCCATGAGATAGGGGAGCACATGCTGTCAATTCTCACCAATAAGGAATGCCTGGTGCGGAATGTGAAGCTCAAGGGGAAGTCCGGGCTGCAGTGACCATGAAATGGTGGAATTCAATGTCCTTGGGGCAGTGAGGAGAGCACACAGCACACTCATCCTGGACTTCAGGAGACCAGACTTCTGGGATCAGCTTGACAGAGTACCATGGCATAAAGCCCTGGAGGGAAAAGGGGCCCATGAAGGCTGGTTAATACCCAAGGGTTACCTTCTCCAAGCTCAAAGACGAAGTCTGTCAAAAATACCATGAGGTCAGCATGGATGAACAATGATCTTCTGGCCAAACTAAACAACAAAAAAGAAGGCTACCAAGAGTGGAAGCAAGGAGAGGTAGCCTAGGAGGAATACAGAGATATTGTCTGAGCACCCAGGGATCAGGTTAGGAAAGATAAAGCTCTCATAGATTTAAACTTGACTGACATCAAGAGCAAGAAGAAAAGCTTCTATAGGTACATGTGCTCTCCAGAACAGGGGACCAGTTACACAGCTTACAGAGAATACTGAGATATTCAACAACTTTCCTGACTGAGTCTTCAACAGCAAGTGTTTGAGCCACACCACCTGAGCTGCAGAAGACAAAGGCAGGGATAGACTAAATGAAGAACTGCTCACTGTAGCAGAAGATCAAGCTCAAGAACATTTTAGGAGCTTGGAGATGCACAAGTCCATAGGACCTGATGAGATGTGTCTGTAGGTGCTGAAGGAACTGGCAGATGAAGTTGCTAAGCCACTATACAGCATATTTGAGAAGTCAAGTCAACCATGTGAAGTTCCCATGGAAAAAGTGACATAATCCATAGCTCATTTTCAAAAAGGGAAAAAACGGAAGGCCTGGGGAACAACAGGTCAGTCAGTCTCACCTCAATGCCTCAGATCATGCATCAGTTCCTCCTGAAAACTATGCAAAGGCACATAGAAAATGAAGAGGTGATTGGTGATAGCCAACATGGCTTCATTAATGGCAAATTGTGCCTTCAAATCTGGTGGCCTTCTATGAAGGGGTTACAGCTTTGGTGGATAAGGAAAGAGCAACTGACATCATTATCTGGACTTGTGCAAAACATTTCACATTATCCCACAACACATCCTTGTCTCTAAACTGGAGACCACTTGGGGGATAAGGAATTCGCTGAATGGTCACACTAAAAGAGGTGTGGCCTGCAGGCTAAGAGCACTGGGGCTGTGCAGCCTGGAGAAATGATGCCTCTGAGGAGACTTTAAAGCACCTTCCAGTACCTAAATGGGACCTACAAGAGAGCTGGAGAGGGACTTTTCATAGGGCCATGTAGCGACAGGACAAGTGGGAATGCCTTTAAAATGAATGAGGATAGGTTTAGATTACATAAGGAAGAAATTCTTCACTATGGGGGTGGTGAGCTAATAGCACAGGCTGTCCAGAGAAGCTGTAGATGCCCCATCCCCGGCAACATTCAAAGCCAGGCTGGATGGGGCTTTCACCAACCTGGCCTAGTGAAAGGTGTCCCTGCCCACAGCAAGGGGGGTGGAACTAGATGATCATCAACATCCCTTCTATGATTTTATGATCCATGGCCCACAGAGCAATTCCATTAATTCTGAAGCTATAAGCAATATAACCATACCTGTGAAGCAGTATGCTCATACTAAAAGACCTTTCTCTGCCCTCACAGAAATGAGAATGTTTTGTCAGAAATTCAGTAGTCATGGTTTATACCTCATTTTTACTGCTGAGGTAAAGAGATGTGTGAAGGGAATGGTCCTGTACCAAAAGGCAGAAAAAAGTATTTCATTTGCATCGAAGTGTTTAATTGACAGGCTCTTTCTTCCACACTAAAAAGAAACACCATGAATGGAAGAACTTATTTTGGCTCACTTAACTAGGAAACTTCAGACCTTGAACAGTAATTCTTAACAACGAGAGGTGTAAAGTAATTGATAGATGCCTTTCTTTTTTGTAGAAAAACTATTTTACTACATTGCATCACTCTAACTCATTTCTGATTTCTGACTCTTTTCATAAAGAGTCTGATTCTTGCTTCACATAGGCAAAAACCTCTCATCTATTTCACAAAGGAAAGAAGCAGAGGAGTTTCTTCACATGAATTATTGGCAGGATTCAAGAACTTAATTTTACTTAAAATCAACAGCCAAAAAAACCTTAGTATTTGGATAATTATACCTGATGAATTTTCATCAGTGTAATATTTAGCAAAAGGCACACACTTACACAAATGAGTATCAAGGCAGGTTAGGTGTTTTACATACTTGCACTCTTTATCCTGCCTCCACAATTGTCCAGACTGGAAAATGACTGGATTGCACCAGGGCTACCTTTTGATCCGAAACAGAAGTGTTGGTGTGTATAAAGGAAGCAGCTGTGATGCTTATCATGAACCATTAAGTTTGGAAGAGTGTTTACGTCCCACAGTACAGATTCAGCTTCAGTGATAAAAACCATGCAAGATTTTACCATACATGACAAGCTACCAAATCCTGGCAGAGACTCCTAGAAACATTGCCTCTACTCCTCTATTTTCCTCTCCAGTACTTTTATTATCATATAGCAATGAAATTCTTTTAATATTCTGATAAGCTTAGTAAAAGACTGGAGACTCGCAGTTTCTTGACTTCTGTATTTTAGAAAATATTTTTGCACATGTAAAAGAGACCCATATGGAAACAATTTTTTCTCATAGTTCTCTGGTTCTATTACACAGTGTCACTAAGTTTGAGCTGCTTTTTAAATATAACCTAAATATATTTATGCATTAAGACAATGACTGCCTCCATTTTTTTTGTGAATGACAAGGACATTTTTGATTATTCTGGAAGTAGGCTTCATACATGCTTACTCCCACCTTATGTTCTTCCAAGGCATCAGTTTTTGTTCACTGCCAGAGACAAAGTAGACATTTGGTCTATGCAGAACAGCTGCTCTTTTGTTCATTTTTAAATAGAGCTTAAAAAACAAATTCCACATAAATTTCTCTTTGATTTTTGTTGTCTTTCAGAGCAAATGTTTAGGCTCCATCACATTCCTAGCCACGTATTTTTTTTTTTTTTCTGAAGAGAGGCATTTAACACATTCTCCAATATTGTGTAGATATAGTGCTGACTCCATAATGAAAACTGCAGGGTCAGAACCACTGTTAAGGGAGCAGTAACAATTTTCCTCTCAGTAATATCAAAATAGCACTGGTTTTGTGCTGCTGCAGATTTCAATATAGCTGGGAAATAAAAAATAATATTGTTTACATCAGCATAAAATCCAGTCTTCAGTATGCAGCCAGCTGCACATAAAATGAGTAGAAACATGAGCAAAAGTGAGCATTTACTTGAATCAGGCCTTTAGCAACCACATAAATGTGCAGCTTGAAGTAGTGTTGACAGACATCTTTGTCTCAGGGCAACTTGCATTCGTCCAGACCCTTCTTAGCAAAAGGCAACATACCTAAAATCAGACCTCTTGACACAAACTTTCTATGCTTATTGGTTTTGAAGAAAACAGTGAACAAATCTACACTAGCAGCGTTTAATCAATGACCTTGTGAACTGATTATTACACAAACAATCCACTATTGCTTCTGGGTGACATGAAGAAAGACATAATTATATTTCTAGTTGAGGTAAACACATCTTGTTAGTGCCTATTCATACAGAAAAGCAAACAGGTAACTACATTTGCTAGATGTGATTTGCCAACTACAGAATTAAACAGAATCCTTTTAAAATACAACACACTTCAAGCATAATTCCTTTTCTTAATGCTGTCAGGATGATTCCAATGTCATTTGAATTTACTTGCTTATTTGGTTTTGCCTGTTTCTCCGAGCTCATATTTGATGTACCTGGCAAATTTTAAGTGATTTTACATTTTGACTACAGGTTTTAAACGTTACTTTACCAAAGAGTGCAGCAACATTTACCTTAAATATTTTACATGTTTGCCACTCCCACTTTTCCTTTGACTGTACTTAATTTGTTAACAATCTATCTAGTACTCTCTAGTGTCTCCTCTGCACAACTTGTTCTCACAACATGGTTGTGATCACACAGTCATAGTCCATGCCTAATGCTATGTTGCCATCTGTTGACCAATTGAGCAGTCGTAGGACTAAGACAAGATACCCAAGAACATAAATAAAATCTCCAAAAGATTTTAAATCTCGACTTTCTATTTACTTCTTTTTCTCTAAGTGATTTAAAATCTTCATGTATTTCCTTAACATTTACTAATCTAAAGATACTAAGTCTTCAAATATAATATTCATACAGCAATATAAGACATAAATCAACTCAAACATTGCATTGTGGTACTGACTTAAGAACTTATATGAATATAACAATTTCATATTGTCACTAATTAGTGACTCACCTTTGAATCATCCAGTTCCAGCTTTTTCAGAGACCGTCTGACATAATCTACAAAGGAGGATGATTTGGAGAAGGTTTTTCCAACATGTCGATCACTGCAAATACAGTATTGAGGTGTAGGCTTTTATACATCCAACAACAGAAATTCAGGTATTTTTAACAGGAGAAATAAATCAGATAGATGGCTACTACTGCCAAGTTAGTAACAACTTTTCTTTTCCCCCCTTCCACTTAAAGCAATCTAGCTAATACTTGAAGTAACTTCTAGACATAGCAACTGTTTAATTGTATTATGGTTATAATACAGTTATTATTTTACCTAAAAATTTGAGAGATAGTTGAAGTTTCTTTCTAATTTCTTCACTAACATTTTTTATTTCCTTATATGAATCACAAAATTATTTCCACTGACACACATTTCCTTCTGTACTTCTGTATTACTTCCATAATCTACCACAATGCTGCTGTAATTTATTTAACACCAAGCACTGGACTGAGCAAATACTACTTTGCTGGCAAATCCTTTCAATTTTTATTTAAATGATGCCAGAATTCTGTCCTGTTCACAACTCAATAGCTTGGATTTCAAGCCAGACAAAAACGCATATTGTTTCCAAAAAATATGTTAAAATAATGCACATAAGCTTAAAAACCATGCCGGAAGAATGAATCCTAGCAGACCACTCATATTTGTTCTCTTCTCTGTGCTTAAAGTATCTTGGAAAAATAATGCACAAAGTTTTTCTTTAGTCTGAATTCATTTTCTTGACTAAGTCTAACATTATTTCTCTTTTAGATCTGCAGTGTAGGAGTTAAATATTCAAGTACAGAATTTTTGCTTCTGAATTACTTAACAAGAAATACACTCTCCCCACACCCTCCCAGTGAAAACATGAAGTATCTTAGTTTAAAACTTTTCTCTCTCTTTATTCTGATCTAAAACTGAGAACTAACATCTGAGGTTAACAGATCTTTTGAAAGATTTCAAAACATTTCACTCAGTGGCAGTTCTAATGCTGTTTTGCTGTCAAGGACCCTCACTCATTGAAAATCATTTCTGTTGTCATAGTTAATATTCACCTAAGCATTTAGGCTGATGCAGTCTGAAAATCAGTTAATGATTATGTTTGTTATGTCACTCCTAGGAAGATGGGCATTTAACATCATGCTCAGAAAATAAAAATGGGGGTGAGAGAGATCTTTCCAAGGTAGTCATTGTGTTCATTAGAAACATATAATCTTAATTTATTCCTCCAAATTATACTTCCTACAAAAAACGAAAAATTTACCACGTAGTTTTTCTTTGCAGCTTGGCAGCCATGACTTTTTGTGTGATATTTTATGCAATTTTAAAATAAAGAAGCATTTCTTCTTTCAGGGATTTGACTTTCTGAAGGGTAAACTGTCTGACTTTACATCTAGCAGAAGTTCTAAGGGTATTTGCATTAGCACTTATTTTAGATCGAGAGCACACTTCTAAAGTTAATTTTACAGTTTTCTCCACCTCTCATGCCTTGGCTCACACCATGAAATAGTATCAGAGCTCAAAAAACGAGTTATTTTCAAACTGAACTGGAAGGTGTGCTTCTGGATGTGATCCAAGTGCTAACAGGCATACATCCCACAGAATAAGATAAAATCTAATCCAACTGCAACCACAGAAGAGTATAATGTAGATGTCAGGTCCTCAGCAGTAGCTTTCCAAATCCCATTCCTACAAGGAAGCAGCACTTGCCAGTGCAGGCTCAAGCTGTGAGTAGCTCTTATGAGCCATGATGGCCATCGAGCTGTCAGCAGTTTTTCTCAGGACAAACAGAAATGCCTTTTTCTTTCTGCAGTATCAAAGCTGCCAGGACGTCTGCATGACAGGGCAGCCCAGGACTGTGCTGACTTTTCAGTGCATTTGCTGAGTATTCTCAGGTGAAGATGTGCTTTACCCATGCACCCAGTACCAAAGAGGGCCTATTTCAGCTACAACTAAAGGAAGGGCAATATATTTGTGATGTGGATTTAGGATGAGCAAATCTATCTTGCATTTTAATACTGATGTGTATATACAACCTGAGGAGACTGATTCCTACGTTCTTCTGCTTTCCAAAACATATTTTCTCTGCAACACAGAAGTGGAAGAGAATCAGATCAATCTTTGGTTGGTATTCTGTGAATTCAGAACTTCCTACCTTTTGGTGACACCATAAATTTCTTCTATAATAACCTGAAGAACAGCTCGATAAAACAATGATTCTATAGGCAGCTGCAAAAAAAATTTACAACAGCAAGGATTTAAAATTGGCACTGAAATTAAGATCAGAGTAGCAAAACCATATTGATTTCCTTAACTATTTATTGAGTTGTATACTTTACAATCGGTTGCACCAGATTTAAGATGACCATTTATTAATGTTCTTGCATCCAGTTAAAATTATGTTTTAAAGTCAGATTCTAACATAACCATAAATGCAAGAAAAAAAAACCAAGACAAACCAAGACACTCTTGATGGAAAGAAAGACAACAGAAGAAAATGCACTGTTCATGATCTGAATTCTAATATGCAAAATAAATAACAATTATCTAAGTTGTTTTGAAGACAAAAGCAGTAATTACCTAGCTGAATCATCTGTGGTCAGATGTAGTGTGAACAACGCAAAAAGTACTATGCTAAAAAAAAGATATAAAAAATTTCATCTATTTGGCTATTGAAAATCTGTTTGCATAAAACTAGCTAATGATTGCCAATTAAAAATTCAGAGAAGGATGCTGGGGTCAGTGGGCTTACTGAATATGGAAAGAAGTCTCTCAGCCTAGCCTTTTAAATATTTGCACAGTTGGTGCCCACCATCCCTTAAGGAAAACTTGCACAATAGTAATTCAAAATATTCACAGGGTAAAGATATACAGGGATTAAAAATGAGAAGGATGATGTTTCTAACAGGTTCAAGCTTTTGTCATAACAATGTCTATTTCTACATTAGTTGATAAAACATAGGGATAGAGTGATCCAAACCAGGGACATCAGAAGGACATTTGCACTGAATTTATGTATTAGCTGAAAGATAGCAAAGGAAGTTAGGAAGGGTGCCTTAAATTTTAAGCTGTGCTTTTTTTTTCTCAGGGTCTTAATTTTCAAAAGAAAACAGATTCACTAAGTACAACCACAGCAATAAAAATGTGATTTCATGATGACACATGCTATCTATCAGGATTTGACATAGTATAGGCCAGTATTTCAGATTCCAGATATGCAGAAGTTCAATAAAAGGCCATGGATTAAGAACATTCAAGGGGAAAAAACACATTTTATCTTAGAATGGCTAAAATAAACAATATTACTTACCATTTGGCCAACTGCAACTCGCTCCAAAGCCTTTAAGAGTCAAGGAATTAAATTGCTGATATGTTTATTCTTTATCATAACATTTTATAAACACATTGTATAAAAGTCAGAGGAGATGACATTTTAAAAGATTAATGGTGTGACATAACATGAGCTTGCACACTTTAAAGTGTTAATACCTTTAGGCACTCATAAGCAGCTACTCCTGTTATTTTGGTTTATTTATAGGAGAAGCAATGACATCCAACTGTGTGGAAATAGATACATAGAAAATGTGCTTGTTTTTCTTTCTAATGTACAAGAATTTCAGAGGATTGCTTTCTGTGAAAGTGATAAAAACAAATGCATTTTTCTTGCATCTATTTCTACTGAAATACAAATAATTCACTTTGTATATTTAATTATTTAAAAGTAAATATGAGTTCAATGGACAACAATTAGTTTTAATCACAAGTAGTCAGATAAATTGAACTGCTGATATACAGGCAAATAAAGTAACTTCAGACCCTGCAGTTTAAGATACTTTGCATTATTTTTCACTAGTCTTCATACTATAAATGCTGATGTAGATGTGAGACGACCTGATTTTTATGATGCATAGTGACAAAGAATGACAAATAATTAGAAGCATGTAATACTCTTTCACAGTTGAAAAGATGCCTACAAAAATGTCAACAGAGTTTTAGAGATCATAGTAGAAATTAAGATAAAACCTCAGTGTCTGATTATCCAATACTACATCAAATTAGGAAGCAAACCAAAAATGCCTCGCCACTTACAGATTATTATCACCTTTAGTCCTAAACTTCACTACAGTAAATAAGACTGCATGTTACACAGTCACCCACTCCTCCTTCTCCTTGTTATAGAACTAATCTTCTATTTCACACTGCTCTTCAAACACACTCACATAGTTGCAGGTCCTGCATTCATGGCAATGGCCAACTATCAGGTTTGCCTTTTGCTGCGTAAGCTCTCATAGCAGCATCTATCTGCTGCTGCTGAGGAGATGGATATGGGTTCCAAGACATATTGTAAGGCTCTGAAACTGGAACTCTTGCCCAACACCTCTGGCCCTTGGCAATTCAGCCAATTTGAACTCTGAGTGTCATTGCTCAGCAGACTTTCTGCTAACCAGCCATTAGCCCAAGAAATGTGGATGCTCAGTGGCTCTGTGCTGGCTCCTTTGTACATCCTACATGGCAAGGAAAATCCCAATCATGAAAAATGCATATAGACAATTACAAACATAACAAGAGACATATCCAGTTACCCAGGAGAACTCTTTGCCTTTTGTGAATATTCAAACACAAAGTTTTTAATTGCCAAACTTCTATGATTTCTGAGAAATTTAAAATAGATATATATAGCATGATTAGTACTCCCCTGGGGGTCATTTGCTTATAAAATTTATCTTCCTACCACTGCTGAAAAACAGCCCAATCTTTTTCTTTCCAAAAGAAATGGAAAAGGAAACAGCTAATATGTCAGCTGAGGAAGGACTGGTATTGTATGACACTGACATGAAAAAGATAAAAGGCAAATCCCTTTAGAAAGCACTTTTCTTCTGCTATGTTTTACTGCCACATCTCTAAAATGAACAATTCTTTTATTTTACTTTGCCAAGAGTAACACATTTAAGCCTTATGGATCCTAAACAACTGTCCTCCTATATTTTCTCCTGATAGCATTTAATTATCATGGTAGTTCAAGTTTACATAACCTCAATACATTAGTCCACACTGAGTCTTTAGTCTGTACTCTTCTCTGTAATGGAGGTACAGAGCTAGCAGCAGAGCCAAGGCAGAACCTGATGTGATTTATCTGGATATCATAAATTAGAAATTAACAGAGGGAAGGAATAGTGGTCTTCTAACTGAAACAGTGGTCAAAGTTTTCAGAACCTATCTGTTTTTTCAAAGTAGACAACAGCTCATCATCCTATCTTGATGAGGCTAAGTATTTAAAAGTATTTCCATCTCTTGGTGCATAAAAAGACGTTTCCAGACTCCTAAGCCACATGGATTTTAGAGCTCCTCTAGCATTTGGAATAGGCAGGGTTATTCAAGTTTTAAACAGCTAGAACATTCGATATTATGAATAATGAAGGCATTGGGGGAGTTACTGATTGTAATCCTTCTACAATTACCTTGTTTCTCCCTACGTCCTTGGCCAAGAACTATTATCCTGAGGGGTTACCTTGTTTAGGTTTCAGCAAAGTTTTGGCCTTTCTGTCCACTCTTAAAATACATTTCTGTCAATACTCATTTTTTCATGCCTTCAGCAAGTATAAAATATATAAAGCTGGAAGGTCAATACTATTCTTTTTAGATATAATTCATCATGCTTACAACATTAATGATGTTATTCTGTAGACTCTTGGATTAAAGTCATGGCTTCAGGATCAGAAGCCAAAAACAATGAATCCTGTAACATCTGGACAAATTTCTCCATAGGAAAAAGAAAAGAAGGGGAATCATACCAAGCATGCTGACATCCTAGCATTGCGACCACAGCACCAGCCTTTGTCCTTCAAGTACTGACACATGGGAAACCCCCAGACTTGGTCGTGGCATTCTGCAATATGGAGGGGAAAAAAAGGCACAGCTTTTCCTCTTACTGAATACACAATGGATTGAGCAAGATGAACAGTAGGCAACGTAGCAGAAACACTTAACTGTTCTCATCCAGTACCAAAACTTGGGGTGATGCTACAAAAAACATATTCCCTGTAACAAATGTTTTTGGTTTATGCTGAATTTCTGATAATTTCACATTTTTCAAAGCAATTTTAAGTGAGTGTCCTTTACATAAATCCACTGAAAAAACAGCCAAAGGGACAAGAGAAAAGTTTGCACACACTCAAACACCTACACAATGCCACGAATCACAAGGTGTAGGCCAAGCAATCATTCCATGCAGCAGGGCTTCAGTATCACTTATCATCTTCATATTCTATCCCAAACATCTTTCAAACATCCCACAGAACAATGTGTATTTGTTTATTCCAGTTCTGAAAGACCATTCTGCTGTGAGGCAGAATGTTTGTTTTCCAGAAAAGAGCAGCTGCAAAGGCTCTTGCTTGTTTCTTCAAAACACCAAGAAGCATTTGCATCACAATCTGTGCTCAGTTTCAGTATCATTTGTATTTTGAATAATAAGACAATTATTCATGTTTAACACTAATGCAAATGTGGGAAAACTGAAGTACAGAGATTACTTTATAGATGTTCTTAACATTCAGTTCTAAATGTACACAAACTCTAAATGTTTAGAGTTTCCATTAACACATTGTCAGCGGATTTTTTAGAATGGTGAATAAGAATTACTGCTTTCTTTAAAAAAACCCCACAAATTGGCTGAGATCCTGGCTTTTTAGCACAGGAAGGTGACAGGGACATACTTCAGAATAAATCATGTAATGGGGTTAAAAAGAGGAGACAGCAGAAAATTTACCAACAGTCAGAATTAAGTGGAATTCATTCCATAAAATTAAGCAAAGAAAAAGCAAAAACTATAAAGAACCCTCCCCACAACTTGTAAAGCCTTTGGCTTTCTGGAAGAAGTGCCCAGTCTAAGCTGACCACTAGAGAATAAAAGCAAGCAGACAAGAATCCTCTACAGGCAACCTCAAACTCTGCTCTCCTTTTAGCCCTCAGGAATGCCAGAGGCTTTTAGGGGCTGAATACTGGTTTGAGAACCGTGATTTAAGAATAGGATTTTATTTATGGATTATTAGCAGAAGGAGAAAGAAAATTCTTTAGAAATAAAGATGAAATTTGACCAAACAGACTGCAATTGGTTTCAGCACTGTATTCAGGAATGTACTAAGAATTTGTAAGTGCCTCATGACAAGCTCTAAAATATTAATTAACTTCAAGTCTAATTATGGAGTATACGGAATATAGGGATATTTCTACTGCACGGATGGCAGTAAGAACTTATTAAATATATTTATTTTGCAAAGAAAACAATGACTGACATGGTTTCTGTTGTATGATTTTCACTAATGTCTTTGTAATATGTATGTTAAAATATTGAAAAATAAAAATTTGCAAGTGAATTAGAAAGATGAAATCCTTGCTCTTTCCAAGCAAATCCCTTCCAATTTATACCCTATCCTCCAGGCAAACTAATCACTCATTCAAGTTAAAGTTACTACCCTGTCAGCTACAATCTCAGTATCAGTGCACTGTACTCATGCATAATTCTGATAATCTTTGAGAAAGATTATCAGTCAAAGCACCATCTTCATTTAAATTATTGAAACTGTAAAGTAGGAGAAAAATAGAGGGAAACTAATGTTTTAAGGTAGAAAAGTTTTTTTGTGTATATCAAAAGTTGACCAAACATCTACAATATTGCTTTAAGTTCTATTTATTTTTTCACATCCAGTCTGCTCTCAAGCACACTTTAAAAATTTTTGGATTAATATATTGCTATAAAGTTCATATATTTACAAGTTACATTTTAAAAAGCTAGAAATTCTTTTCATGCCTGCAACTATTTCAGATATACTTAATAATATATAGCTCACTAAATACCTTATTGTGGTTCTGTCTAACAACACAATAGCTGTTCTAAACTCTATGAATCTCAAAAAATATTCAAGAAACATTTTAAATGCATTTTAAGTATTCCATGGAATTTTCACAATAAACAGCTCAAGTGTTCAACAGCGCATGAAGCAATCCTGTTATAATTCAGTACAGAGTAGCCAATCAGACAGAATTCCTTCTATGAACAGTTAACAAAATGGGGAATTTTAGGTAATCATTCAGTGAGCTGAACTGAAGCTATACTAGTGTTTAATATCAGAAGATGTAAGTTAAATAGCAAAGACTTTAACCTAGCTTCTAAAAAAGACTGAATCAAATATTTAATAAAATGCTGCAAGTATTGCAACAAAACATCAGTTTTTTTATTGATATGGAGTTTATAAAAAAATATATAAGGCAATACAAGTAAGATAAAGGTAAAATCCTTTTCATAGTTGCTAACTCTGTATGTGCACAAATGATGACAAGAAGTTCAAGCGAATGGGACAAGCTTCTTCAATACCTTTAATATTAGGCTGTCCATAGATTTTCATCTCTAAGAATAATACTACACTTTTTAGTGTGCTAATATTCAAATTTTACTTCACAAAGTTTTACAGTAAAATATGGTCTTTGTAAAACAACAGGATCAATAAGCTTTAATGTTACTGGGAAAAATAAGCCTGACTTAAGTTCCATGAGATGAACCAGATTAGAAAGGCGTGGAGTCAGCAATGTGGGTGCAGCCCTGGGTGTGCTTTTACCAGCCCTGGTGTCCCTGGAGCTGTAGGCTTTGTGGAATCTCTGAATCCCAACCCTAAACCTAATGGCTGCTTTTGGCTGATTATATAATTCAGTGGATTGAAATGGCATGTTTTCTTCTGCAATTTTTCAGTGGAAATTAATCTTTATTACCTTCCTCAATTTTTCACCCTACTTTGTCTCTTTGTATATATTGTGAACTTCATCAAAGTAGTATTTAAACACAAATAACCTTTTTCAGGTCCTCTATTGCCTCTATCTTCCACAACATTGTAGATTTTCAGTCTACTTCTGTTATTCCAAACAAAATTGATAGCTACTAAACTGCCGTTTTCCTTCATGGGAAAAACTAAATCTTCCATGACCATGTAATTCATTGTTCCTTGAATTTGTATTTTTCAAAAAAAGTCCCCTGACTAAGCATGATTTTGCTGCAGAAAGCAGGGGGCAGTGGGGAAGAAAAATGTTCTCTAATTCTAGGAAACAATCAGCTGTCATCAAAATAATTTCCAAAACTCAAATCTAGAGTATATTTTAATTATGTGCATTAAAACTTTGGCATTCTCAATTCTAACCTCATACTTTGTACACACTGAGAAAAATATAAGATGATTCCAGGTTTTAATATATTCTTGCTATATATATATTCTTGCTATAATATATTCTAATATATTTATTAAAGAAAAATACCATAATAACTTCAATAGGCAAGACTTTCATTTAACATCTGTAAAGCTTACCTTGTTAGTATTTTTTCAAGTTTCGTATTTTTTTCAGAACCAATTTTTATAGAAAACATCTGGGGTTTAGTGACTAGTTAGCTGTGTCACAAATACATGGAAAGGTTCCCAATGCAGCAATATCTAAAGATGCCTTGGGAAGGAAATTAAGCTTTTTGATCTGTTGCTTGGAAGTGTTTTCCTGTGTTGCCATGGTATCAGTGGTAGCTATTTTAAGACATTGGCTGTTGAATATCTTTGAAAATATACCTAGGCTACACATAGATCATCTGTATTCTAATACCCTGAAACAGTGAGTAATCTTTCATATTTGAGTGGAATCAAGTGATACAAAGCCATTATGCTTGTGTAAGTAATCCTTTAGAAAATTCAGTTTCAGAGTATTTGTCCTCTGAATCCACCTTACTGAAGGCTTTCCCAAATTTCACAAGTCTGATAAAATTCTGTATGTGAATTCTGACTATTGTTTTCAACCCTTTTGGTTCCCTTAATAATGTTCCATAGCTTTTAATAGTCAAAGCTTAGTCAGCAAAAGGTCTGCTGACTTCTTCCAGAGTGCCTTATTGAGAAGCTACTTTCCACAGCTTCCTGGAGGGCTTTACAACTCCTCTACCCAGCAGTGACATGACTTTGGAAATCCTTACACAATCTGGACTTTATATTTTGTAGTATTTAAGCCAATCTCAAAAAGAGCTTCTATCGGAAAGTATCACTGAAAGCATCTATATAAGTACACCTATCTCTTATTTCAAATTACAGAATCAAAGAATAAGTTGAGTTGGAAGGGACCCAAGGGATCATCAAGATTACTTCTTAGCCCTGCACAGCACCATCCCCAAGGATCACACCATGTGCCAGAGAGCATTGCCCAAAGATTTCTTGAACTCTGTCAGGCTTGGTGCTTTGACCACATGTGCTGGAGACTGCACATGATCCGAAATGTTGAAACTTCCCCCCACAGGTGAGGTACCTGGGCATTCCCACCTGAACCTGAGCATATATTAACCCCTGAAGTGTTTGTTTCATGGCTTCCCCCAGCCGTGACAGATCAAGTCTGTGACCCACCTCTTCAACCAACAGACAACTGAAGTGCAAAGTGCTCCCAAAGTGCAAAAATAATGAATGGGTAGTGATATCTTTCCTCTCAGCTAGCTACTTTTATAATTTCTTTTTCTTCCTTATATATTTTCTTCAGTGATATTTTCATGCTTTTATAATGTCATATTACTATAGATAATAACCAAAATGGTTACATTTTCATTTCAGTTATACATTTCATTACATTATACATTTAAATTGCAACCAAATTGTTCTAAAATATATATATCTACACACACACACACACACACACACACACACACACATTTATATCTATGTACACACACCTGTCATTCGTTTCTCTCTAATTCAGTCCAAGGGATATATTAAAAAGAACCTCAGTTACCCTGTCTCTGTGGTGGGTCTTAACAGCAGCTCCAGAGCAAAAGCAATATTCATGTGTTTTTTCCTCAAAACAGAGGATACAATACTGAAGAATTTCACTGGTTTCTAGACTGGTACTGATGCATTTGGTGGAAAGGAGGATAGAAAGAAGAGAATGAGAACACAGAAATCCAAATTCCTTTTCAAGGAAAGTAAAATATTCTTAAAAAATGTTAAATTGTCAGTTCTTCTCTGTTAAGGGATAATCATAAACCAATTGGTATATGGCCCCAAAAATGTGTTAGCTGAATGTAAGATAAAAAGCTCCCAAAAATCCTAAGAATATCTCCTGAACAGAGGCACTGAGTTTGTTTTAACATAAAAATCATTAGCAAAGTGATTTTTTCCCAGAAAAACTGATATAATGGCTCACTATGTAAATAGGTTTATGTAAAATGTCTAATGAACAGTAAAATCATTTCTACTCTGATGTAATTGACTACCCAATACAGTAACAGAGAAGAAAACCCCCAAAGGAATCAATTATACTAATGGCTACGTATATTTTATCAATACGAGAATCTCTATATATAAACAGACAATTCTCCTTAGAGAGAGCCAAAGTAAAACTACTTCGAATTTTCCAAGAGCTGTCATATTATTCCTTACTAACTGAAACTCAGAATTTTGTACTGCTTGTAACAGCAGTGAAATTTAAAGTCAGGTGTTAAAAGACATTGGCTTCAACTTTTTAAAACTGAGTTGAAATTTGACATTACACAGCACCTCTTAGTTGTTTTAGCTACTAATAAATCAAAGCAAAGGCTTTCATGATCTTAACAGTTCAAAATTATTCCCAGCATAACTGGAAATGTGGTCTCATTACAAAAATCTCCAGATGAATTCAGCTTATTTATAGACACATAGACGGACACTGTATACTGATTGCATTATTATTCAAGATTGTGACTGCTGGCACCTACATTCATCAGAAATACTCCCAAAGTACTCACAGCAGGTCCAACAGAAAACTGAATCAGCCAAACTTGCAATATTTGTACTATTTTTAGAGTATGTGAGAAATGTAATGCATTATTCCCTGAAGTAATCTCAGAAACAAGAAAAAAACCAACCCCAAACTTGCGATATCCAAGGTAATTCAGCAGCCCAACAAAAACACCATAGTAACATTTTGTTGAGATTTTGTCAACTCAACACCTCAGACTTATAAATACTATGTTAGGCACCATAATAGGTAAATTTTATTCCTAAGAAGATCAGTTAATTCCTCTTAATATGAAGTGAAAAAGTAATTTTTCACTGACCTCAAACAAGATTGACCTTGGTATTAAACCTTAAGTGCCAGAGAACATACTGTCCCACCATACCAAGTGATGGCAACCACAAGACCATTGCAGCTCCTCTGTGAGCTGGCTCCTCTGCTTCAACTGTGATTATGAGAACGACACTCTGAGTTTACATTAAAGAAACAGCAAAGATGGAAAATGTGCTACTTTGGGGGCAAGAGCTTTGAGGTGGACTTGCCACAACCTTGACTTTAAGGGTGCACACCTCAAGAAAATCAAAAAGCTTTCAAAGAGGACAAATGACATTTTTAAAACAGATTTTGGAAAACTTTGAGGCTACTCAGTCAAGATAAAATAACTTTATAACAGGACTTCCCACTGTGTCCTCACAGGCAAGCCCTTGCTTATTGGACTGATTTCAAATGAGTAAGTCATTTCCTGTGTTGCAGCGAATTCTGCCCAATTCTCTTTGCTTCTTAGGAAGATCTATCCATCACTGCAGAGATGTAGCTCTAAACCTGCTTCCTAATACCCAAACTAGTCTCTCCACATAAAGCACCTTCATGTCTCTGCAATGTCTGATTGATGCCTTTCCTGAGTTCAGAGTCACAGCCTTGACAAGCGAAGAACTATCTACAGTAGATGTAACATTGGCTGAAGTATCACACAAGCCAGCCAGAAATACACAACTGCATGTGGCCAGATGGGATCCATTTAAGCCTCACTAAACTCACTGGTGTCCCATGAAGACCATACTCTATCATCTTTGGCAGGTCATGTCCATCCTTATTACAGGAAACAGGTGAAAACCACACTCATCTTCACCTTCAATCAGTCTCAACAAGTTTATGGAGCACATTCTCCTGGAAATCATGCCCAGGCCCATGAAGAACAAGAAGGTTGACACTAGCTGGAGGAATTCATCAGGCACTGACAAACTATGCCTTCTGTGATGCAGAGACTGGCTCCATGAACCAGGGGACAACAGAGTCATAATTTATCCTGATTTTATGAAGTCTTTCAGAAAGGTTTCCTTAGTATCTTTATAGACAACATGGAAAGATATGACTCAGACAGATGGACTCTAAAATAGGCAGAAAATTGACAGTAATCTGAAGTTTGACAGGGAAGCCTGCAGATTAAGGGATGTGATTATTCTCCCTTTTTAGCACTTGTGAGAGTATCTGGAGTGTTTCTTTGGGCTCTTCAGCCCACCATAATGACTGAAATGAATTTATTGGTGGCAAGAGCACTAAAGGGCTGCAGAGAAGATCAAGAAGGTATCTAACTGCTGTTTTCAACTACCTAAAGGAAAGAGAACAAAAAAGATTAAGCTGGACTATCCCTGGCAGTGCAAAATGAAAAAGACAATAGATAATGCACAATAGCTGCAAATTCTGAACAGATATGAGGAAAAGAACTTCATGGTGAGGGCAAAAATTGAAACGGGCTACAGAATCACTGCCCTTGGAGACATTCAAAACATGAATGGACAAGGCCCTGAATTAAATTACCTAAGTTGGCCCTGCCTTTTGCCATGATGTTGTTCAGATGACCTCCAGAAGTCACTTGCTACTTAAATGCTATGATTTGGTCCATTCTGGAAGCAATATTAAAATCCACTTGCTTCCAACAGCTGCAAGAGGAGTTTGTTTACTGCTTGTACAAGTGAATTGTTGGATCAATACCATCTGATTAGTTACAGAGTCCCCTAGCATACTCTAGAATGCTTTGTCAGTTTGAAGTCAATGCATAGGAAATGCAGACACAAGATACAGGCCAAATTCTTTCTCATTTTCCCTTTGAAAAAAATCTTAACTCTTAGATACTGTCAGTCCTTGTTCTCTTAGCCTCCCCTGCACATTTAAGAACAAGCCATATGGTAGATGACTTAGTAAGGGAATACAACACCATTATACATTTTAGAATATACACTCTCATAGCAAGAGTAAAAAAAAAATAATTATTTTGAGCATTACTAGGACAATATATGTATTCTTTCCCAAAAAAAGAATACTGTAATTTCCTTTTGTTCTGTCCAAATGTTCTCCTTTGAGAATAATTTTGTCCTTCAAGAAGAGAAAAATCAAATAGCTAGAAATTCCAACATGAAATTTGACTTCATTTTCATACTGCTTATGAAACTGCAGTATGTCTTCTAACCATGCACATATATCTGTTTGTTTGAACTTTGAAAAGGTTATCATGCCTGATCCTTTGGTAGTGTCTGGGTTTATGCACTAGTCTGCAAAAAGTAATCCTATATGGTCAGCACAGGAAGCTGTGTCCTCTTTTCAATAATAAGAAACAACCAAATGTTTCAGACACTCAGACTTAATGACAAGTACCTGAAAAGTTCTTAATTTTTTAAAACTCTGCTATAAAAGTAATTGCATGTTTTTTTTCTCTAACTTCATTCCTGTAGCACAGAAATTTCAATTGTATTTTCCTTTCCTTTGCTTTTGGAGTGAGCTGAAGTACATTGAAATTACTAAGACTAATACACTGAAAAAACTGTTAAAATAGTTGCAGAGCAAATTAGAAACAACATTAAAAGATTATTAAAGCAAGCAAGAGCTAGTGTGTGTCATGGTCAGTGTGGAGCTGTGCTGTAGCTGCCCAAGGAGCTAAAGGAGCTATATAAGCTATATAAGGAGCTGCAGCTATATAAGGAGTTCTGTTAAAGAGCAGTACCTGTGCCTTTGTGTCTGTGAAGTTCCCTGAAAGAACTGAAGTAAACCTTGCCAAGCCACCTCTTTCTCAGATATACTGATATGATGATCAGGTCCTAGGATGTCAGTAGATGGTCATTTAGACTGCTCAGCTATGTACTACTTGTCTCAGGAAAGCTAGCTCCTTAAATCTTTTTCATTATACAGAATTTCAAGCAAAAATACGAACATTCTCTCAAAAATGATCCCTCCCCCCATTTGTAAGAAAATTTGACTATATTCCGAATCCACAAATAATTTTATGTCCCCAAGGAAACCTCATATATATGTACTGCTTCATGATGGGCTGAACAGGCAAAGACCAGCACAGCACCCAGATGACTTTTTTTTGAGTATTACCTTACACTACAAAAACTTAATTCTGCTTATTGTTGTAACTTAACAAAATTGGATGTTGCACGCAGACAGCCATGGACAAAATCTGGTACAAAATATTTCAAAAGGATGGAAACATACTGGATTAGAAGAGCCTATACATTTATAAGTGAATTAATGGAATAAAACCAGCTGTAATCATAACCATATAAAGTTATTATGCACTTATGTCCCTAATCTTAGTAAAAATATCAGGAATATTGGCAAAACAGAAAAGCAACAAAGCATCTGGGAGTGAATGACCCTTATAAAGTAAATAAAACCAGTACTAAATAAACCACTGGAAAGGAAAAAACACAAGGATGTTATTAATTAAAAGGTACTAATACTCCCAACATGCAAACTGGCAGCCACAAGTTAAGATCAGAAGAATTACCTTCTTGGTTTTCAAACTGTTCTGACAACAGATGGTAGCAGCAGCCCACATTGCAAACGGCTTTGATTTCAGGCTTGGCAGTAAAAATTCGTAGTGTATTTGCAGCAAGATCCCCACATGTATGTAGACCCACCATCATACAGTCCTAAGAAGAAAAAGAAAAAAAAAGGCAACAATAAATCATGTCCTTCATCAACTGAAAGAGCACAAATAAAAACAAACTCCAAAACCCAAACGTGGTGCAAATAGCGAGCTGTAAGGAAGAAATACCCAACTCCATGAGGACCCCTGCTGTTCTGTTCTAGAATTTTTCAATGCCAATCAAAGCTATTCAGTGCTATGAAAATATGGTGAAAACTGGCCATGATGCAGCAGAGGTTTAAGTCTATGAGTAACAGCTGCATGGAAGGGATCTACATGTTTACTGGGCACAGGCCATTTTCTCTTGTCTTTCATAGGTTTCCTGTTCTTCTTATTAGTACCACTGCTACTTTTCTTAGTAAAGATTCCTTTCTGCAAATCTGGCTGGACCTATCTAAGGCATTTCTGCTAGTTTAAGTTGCTGAAATCAAACCAACTTACTAAATACAGGTAATAAGATGAAGAACAGGCTTTGCTATTACCCAAATAGCAGTACTGACAGTTTTGCAGTATGCCCCCTTACTATTCAACAAAAAAATCGGTGTTCTCTTTCACAGCACAAAGTAATAACTTCAGCTTCAGATGCTCTGCTCTTCTGTCCATTCTATTTCCTACTTTCCTTTTTCCTGAACTTCCCTTTTCCCTCCATTTCTCCATTAAAATTCTCTCTCTTCTACCATCCATAACAAGATATTTCCCTTCTGACATTATTAGTTGGGATCCACATGGCAAACACAGTGTTGCTTTGAATTCCACACATATTTATTAATCATAGAATCAAAAAGTCAATAGAGTTGGAAAGGACCTTAGATATCACCCAGTTCCAACCCCCCTGCCCCACTAGACCAGGCTGCTCAAAGCCTCATCCAACCTGGCCTTCAGCACTTCCAGTGGCATCCACAACTTCTTTGAGCAATTTGTTCCAGTGCTTTATCACCCTTACAATAAAGAATTTCCTTTTAATATCTATCTAATCTAAATCAACCCTCCTTCATCTTAAGGCCATTCCCCCTTGTTCTATCATTACATGCCCTTTTAAAAACTCTCTCTCCAGCCTTCTAGTAAGATCCCATTTAGGTACTGGAATGTACTATAAAGTGTCCCCAGAGCCTTCACTTCTACAGGTTATCAACAAAAAATTAGGCCAGGGTCACTCAACCGAGATAGCTTTCTCTAATCATTCTGATTTTATCTGACTATCTCACCCACCTGTATTACATACTGCATTCATGGCTGAAACAGTAAAACTTCTGCTTTCCTCATTCATGTTCCCTGACAGTATATTTTGTCTCAAGAAAGGCAGTGATATAGGATTTCTTCCACCTTTAACATCATACAAATTACACACTACGAGGATACAAAATCCAGCTGTGCAAATGTACAGGCATATGCTTCATCAACAAACTCTGCTGCTCAGGATGTCTTTTGCAGACAGACATGAGCTTGCTTGACATATTCTAAGATACTCAGCTGTATTTATAGCTCAACTTATAGGGCCATCAGCACCTATGGTCTTGAATTAGAGATCATTACACCCTGGAATAAAATAGTTTGGTTACTATGAACACAAATAAGTTTTTATCATTCTACAAAAGACTGAATGCATCTACTCAATCAATGAATGTTAGTTCAGGTATAAAAACTAAATATACAACCTCAGTTTCTAGACTTGTGCAACTGTCTTTGGGCAGCTTAACTTGGGCTAGTTTGTGTAGACACAAGCCCTGCCAGCTAGTAAGTTACTAAATGAACTATAAGTAATTCTGTAAAGTCAAAATAAAATCATCCTTTACAAACTCTTCATCTTGAGTACCATACATAATAAATTCTCCTATGCCTTCCCAGTATGACAGAAAGCACAAAAATATGTAATTTGAAAAAACGAAGAACTTTTAGGAAAATTGAAACTCCAATGCTTAATATATACATCTACCTGGTAAATAGTAATAAATCCATAATAATTACATTTTATCTATAATGACAGTTGCAAAATAACTGAATATGCTGTTAACTTTGACAGCTCATAAATTCTAAAGACTGATTCAAAGTAATCCCAACACATGTATCAAAATAGAAAAGCAATCTTTATCTGGTAGGCATGCTTCTGCTACCTGGTTAAAAACCATTATTGGGCCAGAATATTCATTTACACCAGAGACAGCACTCTATGTACACTCAGCAAACATGTACATATTAAAATGGCAATATAAAGACAATGAACAATCTAAACATAGTAAATATTTAGAGTAAAATAACCTCCAGATCTGTTATGATGTCATTGAGTTCTGTTTCTGCAGTGATGCAAGAGGTCAATGGAGAATACAGGTTCGATTCACTTGACTTTCTTGCTTTAGCCTGGAGAGATGCAATTTTTCTTTGTACTTTTTCCTCTTCACAGAGTTCCACGCAGTTATGAGATGAAGAAAAATCTTCTACAGCATCAGCAGGAAGAACATTTAGAATAGCAAGAACCTCTTCAGAAAGTTTGGTCTCATGAGATTGTGTCTCAGTCACTAAATCAGCTTCAGCTTCTGTGTTGGTTACACGTGTAGCCATTTCTGTGAAACCACAAGAAGGAAGTAAATCTTGGATAATCGCTTGGCCCTGATTTTGAGGACTGTTGGCATTATTTAAGAGCTCTTCATTGATTGTTTTACAATTAATTTCACTTTCCACTGGCTTGTCATTTGCCTTTTCCAAACTCTGGCTTTTGAGGGCTTCTTTTCCTCTACTCTGATATGCTCTCCAGTGTTTCTTCAATTTTCTATTTCTTTCATGAGCACCATTTGTGTTGGAGCTTGAGGAGTCAATGCCATAAACTTTTAAGTTATATTGCATGGACAAAAATGAACTCAGGTAGCCTTTCCCAGAACCTATATCAATCACCTAGATAATGGAGAAAAGGAAATTGCTATATTAATGGGCAACAAGCCATACTTCAAGTGCAAAATTATTCCCTAAAAATTCAAGCATGGATTGAATAGTTACCTTATTAGTATTATACTTCTCAATGTACCTAGTTGTTTTGCTTTACTGGTCTAGCTTCTGACTTTAAAACACAGAATTAAGTCTTAACTGATGTGCTCTAGAAAACAGACAACTGAGATGCGAAGGGAAGGTGTTAAGAGGAGTTTTCAAGCTCTTCTCAGTGCTATCAAGCAATAGGATAAGAGGCAATGGGTGGAAACTGATGCACAGCAAATTCCACCTAAATATGAACAAGAACTTCTTTACAGTGCAGGCAACTGTGGATTGGAACAGACTGCCCAGAGAGGGTGTGGAGTCTCCTTTACTGGAGATATTAAAGAATAATCTGGATGCAACCCTGCGCCATGTGCTTTGGGATGACCCTGCTTGAGCAGGGGGGTTGGACCAGATGACCTCCTGTGATCCCTTCCAACCTGACCCATTCTGTGATTCTCTCACTGGAATGGAAAGAGGAGTGCTGAAGGAATAATTTTACCCCCCTTTTATTTAACAGATGTTACAATTATATAGAATATGCGCACCTTCACTTCTTCAAATTCTGAATTTTTTCAGTAAAAAGCAGCATTTGGAGCCAAGAGAGGGTTAGTGAATTATTCCTAAGTGTTACCCTGACTGGCTGTAGAGACCAGCTGCAGCTTGCAGAAAGTTTCTTAAGTAAATAGAAAACAGTAATACATTGTTAAATTAGCACTGAGAGAACAGTTTAAAAACAAAAGGAAAAGTTGACTAAAAATAGCAAGAAATGATCTTACACTAAACAAATAAACTGCATTAAATGATTCCCTGCTTTACCTTCCATTGATTACATAGGAAAGGTAATAAGCAATCCATAGCATATCTGTCAAGCACGAACCTTTAAAATGAAATTTTCATGATACAGTAAACGCCAAAGGTCTTGTCCACAGTGAGTTGGGTCCTATGTTTAAACATAGTTTCTGGCACAATCAAGCATTCCAACATTTCCCAGCACCAAATCACAAATGTAATGGATGCTGAATGCAGAATTATATCATCCTTACACACTCCAAATCTTGCTGAACATGCTGCAATTTCCAAGGAAAACTTTGACCAATACATTAAACAAAACAAACGTGCACTTAAGCAAAGTGGCTCAACACTGGCTTCTTTTCAGAGCTTAATCAAGAACTTCTTTAAAAAAACAAGTTCCATTTATATGATAGGAACAGTGCTTAAAAGGGTCAGCAAACTACTGAAAAAAAAGCCCTTGAATTATTTTGCTTTAATGTTTAAATTCAAATCATTAACCTAGAAGTGATTATAGTGGTAATAAATTTTTTGCTTTTATTCTTATTTTACTATTTACTATTGTACATTATAAAATACCAACAGAGAGCAATATCCTCTACCACCCATTATACAACATGGGTATGGAGGTGAAATGGAGGTGAAATTTTTCAAGCTGTCAGTGATGTGTAACATCTGAAGGAAACACCCTGAGGACATGTGCTGTTGTAAAACGTGTTGTGTTTTCATGACTCTAGATTTTTTTAATTAAATGCTACATATATTTTATTTTGCAAGAAGTACAGAAAAAAATCAATAAGGAAAAACTCCTAAAAATTTGTAATTACTGTTTTTTTTAAAGTTGAAAGAAAACAAAACCAAAACGAGTTGCTTTTTAAAGACTGAGAAGGGAGCTTTTCTTTATTTTCCAAAGTAACAGGAAAGCTCTCTTCATATATTAGGGATTTGTAACTTTGCACAAATAAATACTGTTATAGTGTATGACTAAAATAGAAAAAAGTTAATGTAGCACAGTCAGCATTTCATATTCAGTGATACACTGCAATAATATTTTTCATTTAATGTTCTAGTTTTTTCAAAACGTAAACAGAAAATAATTCCATCTGTAGAGGCACTCCAAGGTACCTGATATATAGAATCACTGTATGAAACTGCAGCATATTGACAGATACTTAGTAAGGACTGGTTTGTGATTTTATTAGTAACCAGCTACATTGAAACTTTGGTTAAGTTATTAAGATGGCTTTACTTTTTTACTTTCTGAACAGGATTTTTGCTTTCCTTTTATTCCTGAATCTCACAGGAACTATTTAAATCTAAATGAAAACTATATGAAACACCACTTTCCAGAAAATGCAGAGACCACTTACTATTGCATTGTAAGCAAACTGTACTCTCCTACAGCTTTTTCAGTACATGAAAGTCTCCAATACTTAAACAACTAATATTTGCCTGAAACAAAAGGTAAGCAAGGCTAAAAACATGCTCATGACGGAATAAAAGACTTTCAGAAATGTGCTGCTAGTGTTTTTCTGTTCTCTACAGAGCACACCCACTGTAGGGCTGTGGAGGACACCCACGCTTGTCACTGAGGCTGGCTCTTAAAGGGCTGCTGGAGAGACTGCCTTCCATGGCTGTAAGCGATTGCAGATGCTCACAAACTGATTGTTTCTCAGACAGTAATGTTTGGCCTTAATTAAAGCTCTCTATTTACTTGACAATCCCAGCTGTAAGAATACTGCCTGAAACTTTGTCTTCGTCAGCTGTTCCTCACAAAACAGATGGTCAGGACTGAGAATTTTGATCTCTGTTTCCAAGGATGCCACAGGCCTGACCCAAATCTAGCAAGTACAGCATCATTTACTTATCTAAATTAAACTCAGTCTGAGCCAAATAACCTCCTAACCAAAGTTCAGCTTCAGCAACTCAGAGACGAATCCAAGTTTTGGGGCTTTCCCTGTGGTGGGAGCAACAGCAACTTGGGATGCTGCAGGTGCATTAATTTTAAACTATGCTCATACATATTTACTTACAAAAAAGAATACTCAGAGAAAATACCCTCACCATAAAATCTGGACAGGTACCTTATTAACCTTTGATTTTAAACAAATATCGTTTGCTCTCCACAAATCTTTGTGGGAATGAATATTGACCTGGATGAAGTAAGTCTCCATTTACAGTTACAGACCCTTGCCTGGAAAGCAAGTGAGCTCAGATGTAGAAAGGAATCAAACATGTGTTCAGAGCCCCATGTCACCTCTAGTTTAAAGCAAGGATAAAACTACACTTGCCAGTTACCAGCATTAGAGAGATTAAAATGAATAAATGAACTCACCTCACCCAGATACTTAAAAATTTAGCCTTACCACAACACAGGCCTAAGCTACGGAATCAAACTTAAGCTTTAACACTGAAAAAGCTTACAAAAAAAGCTTATGTATGTTAACTGAGGAAATGGTATTGGTGCATTTTGTATAACAGAATGTGAAACACAGTACTCAAGAATGTCAAGTATTGATGGGGTGCTTGTGTTTTGTCAACAGATCCATAAATAAACATCTACAAGATTTTACTGAAGTAGTGATCTAGTGCACTGTGCAATCATAATTACATGTATATAAAAAAAGGTTACAATTAAATTTGAGAAAGGAATCCTGCAATTCTTCATCACCCAAAGACAAACCTAGTATTTGATGTATGAAACAGCCAACTCATGCAGTAATTGCTGGGTGATAATAGTGTTGGTCCAGGCCTCATACATGTTCTACCAAATGTATTTCATACACTCTTACACAAATCTCTGCTTAATTTGGTCTCTCTTCGAACTAAAAACATCATAACTAAATTTCTAATTCATAGACCTCAATCCATCGTTAAATAAAGGTGATTAGTATAAAACAATAGGAAATAATTTAAATATTGCATCAGAATTGCTTTCAGAATTTCTCAAGATATTCTGCCTTGGTCTGTATGTGACACCCTTGCGTGCATGACACAAGGCAGCTCTCCTACTGACGTGCAAAACTGCCAGCAATATAATACTGACAAACAAGGCAGGACTGGTCCAAAAAGCAGAACAGTTTTTAGCAGTGCTCAACACAGAGAGGATGATCGTAACTTTTTGAAATTACTCATGAGTGATTATAAGTCACTGAAAGGCATCTCCTTTGGAACAATACATTTGCAAACAAAATTATCCTTCAGTTCAGCCCCAACAGCTCTTCTTTAGCTCCAATTATGTACAGAAAAAGTAAGAACAGCAGTGACAAAATATCAAAGAGATGTATTTGCACACAACAAGGAGAATAACTTGGAAGTTATCTGGTAAAACACAGTAATAAATGCTCTCTCACCTGCTTTATCCCACAATAATTCGCTATGCCATCTACCAGCTCTGACATCACCTGCACTTCATGTGATTTCTTATTATTCATAAACTCATCCGGTTTGATACCTGTATCAGATTAGGAAAATAAATACATATTAACACAACCTGTAATAATACGGATTTGTGACCAATTAGGAAAAAAAAAAAGCTAATATACACTTCACTGTTTATGTATTTTCAGGATAGTAATTTTAAATTAAAAACTCAATTATTACAAGAGTAAATTTCTGAATTATGGATGAGTTAGCAACATTCAATACACTGTAAAATTCAGGTTTTTTTAAGATGTAGCATATTTAATACCTGCCCAGATATTAGACAATAGCTACACAACTATAAAACTGTACTATTTCTTCCTTTTCATTGAACAATATTTATTTTTGTCTCATTTATCACATATACCTTCCCATAAATGAAATATAAGGGCAGGGACAATAAATAATCACATTGTACAGTTTGCTAATGCTGCAGATTTGCTGCCAATAGCAAGAGGGAGATAGCTCTATTAAAAGTTATGAGCAAAACTGGGAAAATACAGAGGAAGATGAACTTTCCTTTTCTTTATTTACCCTATGGATTTGTTATAGAACTGTTACACCTTTATGGCAGAGAATCACTGATTTCAGTGCTGCTGGAGAATGTTTTAATAGATGGAGTCAACATCCATCGTGGGTTAACTGCTTGTGGAGAACACCAAGCACTCATTTGCAAACCTCTGTGCCACCCAGCCAAAGCAGGAGCTCAGAAGTCACTCCCTTGGGAGAAGCCCACATGTTTCTCTTAGGAGTCCAATGCTGCAGTGCACTTGGATCTAGTTAAATTGATGGTAAGTCAGAGTGATGGTAGAAGAAACTGGATCATTACTGATGAGCATGCTCCTGGAAAACAGGACTTTTCTCCATGACCAGGCAGATTAATATACTTTCCCATTTTCTGCTCAATGCACAGGTTGTATTCATCTGTCCAGAAACTGATCATTAGGCAAAAACCATATTCATTTCTTGATCAGATCATGCTGGGAGCAGAGCCAAGTGTGCTACTTCTTTAAAAGAGAGTGGGGAATTGAACTGAGCTCATAAGAAACCCACTGTTTTCTCTATTTTTTCCAAACCCCAAGGGATCTGTCTATTTCTTAAACATCTGGGGTTTTCATAATAAATTGTTAAGACAATACTTAAAATCTAATGTAGACTCTGTGAAGTGACAAGAGGAAAAATAGACTAAAACAATACACTTAAATAGACTTAAACAATACAAATAGCAGAAACAAGTATTTGTCATCTCATTGAAGACTCTCCTTAACTTTAAAACTGTAAAGATATATACAACATCCTAAAAAGCTCTTAATTTGTAAGCATATCAGGTTAAAGAAAAACAGACAGGAAAAAAAAAATTAAAAGAAAAAAGGTTTCTCTTTTTGTTTATGTTTGAACATTTTTGTGTCTGGATAGGCTCATCAGAAAAAGAAGCAGAATTGGAACGAGAAGAAACAGACATTTAACTTCTTGACAGAAATAAAAGTTGTTTTTTCTCCAAAGCAGCACTGTCACTTTGGACAATGATCACATACTGCACCTTTACTCTTTATTATGAACTCAAAGGACTGAATGGGGTAACGCTAGGTGAAGTACCATGTCAGAGAGTACTTATTGCAAATTAAGCATTTCAAACATGGTAGAAATCCAGAACAATCACCTAACTTACAAAAGGTGAGGTTCTAGACAGAAAAAGTGTAATTTATTTATATCTACATATATAGTTTATTTATCACCTTAGCTACAAAAACTTCGTAAGCACTTTTTGACTTCTTTCCCTGCTTTCTGCAGGATAACACACTGCTTATATTTCAGCTCAGGGAAAATGATACTTTTTGGAGGAAATTACTGCTTTTAAAATAAATTTTATTTTTCTGCTTTTTATGCAAAATTCTGATAGGTTTTTACATTATTCCGAAAAACAAACTGATATTAAAAACTAATGCAAACAAATATATCTGGGGACTGTTTTATATTACCCGGACAATTTGAATTAAAAAAAATACTAGTTTGACTAAAACTGTGTAAATTCTTTCTGCTATCACAAAATTACTTTCTTGAAACAAATAATTATACATGTACATTTCCTTATTATGTGTATAACTGATGCAGGCAGAACAAATACTAATTTCAAAAAACATCAAAAATTTAGAGAACCATCTCCCTTTGTGATGAAAAAAATTAAATGTGGTTTCAAATACTTTACAGAAGTAGCTTGGATATGGTAGAGTAACAGAAAGCTTAATGTTAGCAGTTTTAGTTGGTAATGAAATGCTGCTTATTTGCACTGGGAATCCCTATCTGTATTCCATCTGAAGAACTGCTTTAACTCTGTAGTGCCATTTACAGCTACATCTTTAGTCATGAAGCTGAGAAAACTGAGGAGAGACTGTTTCTGTACAGGGCTAACACAGACTTTTAAAGATCTCCTATGGCAGGGTGCAGGGGTTTTTATACCCCAGCTACCTGTGGAAATTCAGATACACCAGATAAAAAAGTATAAACACCAGCACTGTCTACACCAAATTTACTACGGTGATTTAACTCCACGATCCAGAGTGAGGAAATGGACTCAAAAACCATACACTCAAAAAAACCCTTCGTGGCAGAGTGATATTCCAGCACATGGAATTTAAAGATGGATTCATTAGTAGTCACTGCATGGCATGATTATTACCTCAGCCATAAACACACTGCAAAGGTGGAGAACTCTCAATCCACCCTCACTTCTGGGTGATTACAAAGCACAGCACAACACTCTTCAGACTCAGAACTCCATTCTGAGTAGTTGTGTCCACAACATGCTTTACATGTTCCTGCTTCCCAGTTATTCCCAGGGAGGAAAGCAATATACCTACATTAAGATTGCAAAGAAGCTAGAGAACTATGTAAGTATGCAAACTCTGGTAATAGACTCAAAAGTCTGTTTGTCTTAGAAGAAGAAAACATATTTAAAAACTTCTGAAACATAAATTGAATTATCTTGATGCATATTTTTCAGAATATAAGCAACACAATCATAAAGCTGCCAGTTTTCTCAGACTTACATTTCTCTCAACTTGCAAGCTTTAGCATGTCAGGGAACAAACATATCTTCTGAAATACATAAACAAGTCCAAAATATCTAAAATAGCTCGAAGTTAAAAGATCACGACTTTCATTTGCCAACTTGAACATTATGAACCCATAAGTTGGTATTTTGCCTCTGCCAAATGATTACCAGGAACTTCAATTAAGTTAACTGGTATTTGCTGCCAATTCAGCACAAAGGTTTTGAATTATAATTCTATTGTAGACATTTGGAACACATTTTATTTTTCCCAAGAAGTACAACTTAGAAGTACTTCAAAAATACAAACCCAGGTCCCAACCAAGCATCACTCCTACCACACAGAGAAAAAAATATTCAGCAATTGCCTTATTCTTGATGCTCCATTCTGCATGACAAGATGAAAGAATCCTGAAAGTTTTGGCTAAGAAAGTTAATCCAGGTATGAATTCACATACAAGAAGATAGAACTACAGAATTACAGAAAATTAAGAGGAACATGGGGAATGAGATATAGTAAAAATGAAAATAGCTAAAAAGCTAGTCGGAAAGAAAAGCAGCATACAGTTATCAAGGAAGAAAAAAGAGCATAAGGAAAGAAGCCAGAAAGTAAGAGGAATGTACTACAAATCATTAAGAGTATCTCAGCAACGGCATTCTAGCACTTCTAAAAAAACTTAGCGAGCCAACCATGAAAAATGGAAAAATTGAAAAGAGATCACTGTAGAAAATGGGAGAGATGCACAACATTTGTATAATGGTGCTATCACTTAGGATAAGAAACGTCAGGAGTTTTAATGCATCCCAGAGATAAAATGCACTAGAAGGAGAAGGCAGAAAGCTGCTCAGTCAGTCTCTTAAAAACTAATGAGAAATCTCAAAGATAGTAACAAATCTTCAGAGACTGAGGACTCCATGAATAGCACAGTTGCAGTGAAAATGACAGCACTCCAAGTAAGGATAAATGTCAGTTTATCATCTGACTTAAACATTATAATCGGGGTAAGACTCGCAGCATCCAACTTGATGCCAATTTAAGAGCATTTTAACTCAATTTAACTACAGAAAATGAAATTACTCTAGTTTTATCACATATAATTGGTATTAGTCCCAAAAATACAGAATTAATAAAATATTTTTTTTCTAAGACATTAAACGCTTGCCATATTTTATGGTGATCCTTCTAAGAAAAGCATGAGTAGCAAGTATGATTCTTGCCACTCGGGGACAAGACAAACAAAGGGAATTAACAAGGTATCTCAAATAGTCATGTGCCCACTTCTCTGTCCCATCCCCTTTAAAACTGAATGCCATGATGGGTCTATAGATACCAAATGCTCAAATTTTAGCAAGATAATCAATTTCATAAACAAAGACAATAAAGAAACTATCCAACAACAAATGAAAATGGAAGTGGAGATCATGTAGGAAAAGACCCTCAAACAACAAACTACCCTTCAAAACCAAAATATTCTTATAGTCCTTACAGTGAATAAGTTAACATTAAAATACAAATGTAAATATACCTGTTGCTCCTTCACTGTCTCCTTTCAGTGCTTCAAGCACATCTTCTAACGGGGTACACACTCCAAGGTTGGACAAAGAATAATACTTAGCAGCCAGGGCAAACAAATGTACATTGATAAGCTTCCCAGAGTTTTCACAAAATGCGCTGGAAAAGATGTCGTCATCTTCACATAAAAGAAAAGGAAAAGATTTTTGTAAACAGTGCTTAACAGCTCTCTAATACTGCTGACAGAAAACTATAGGCAGTAAATACTTAGTATCAGACACGACTTAGCCATTTATCTTGCTTCCCTGAGTGGGAAAACTCATTCTTTTCCTTCAGCTATACTTCCCCTTCAGAACTAAGGACAAATTTTGCTCTAAGCTGAACCAGTGTAAATGTGACAAAATCTGTTGTTTCAGCAGACATACAGTAGTATAACAAGCTAATGACAAACTAATTCAGTCAACATTATCACTTCTCTTCTGTTTACAAACTTGGTCCTTATACATGTCCTAGTCAGCCCTGTCTGCCAATATGTGCTGCTAGATTTTCTTTTAAGGAATGCAGATGTTCAGTACATGAAATGTTTGGATTCACAATCACTCAATTCACGTAGTTTCCAGCTTTGTAACTGATGACTACTGGAAGAATTAAATTAATTTTTATTTCCAATCAGGTGTAGGCCAAAGTTAAGATTCCAATGTGTACTTTGTTAGATTCATGATTAAATACTTCATTTTGGTATTACTTAGTACTGAGTTTCAAAAATGTAAATTTATTTTTAAGTAAAATATATTAGTATGAATAATTTATTAATTCTGAGATTATTTTATATTGCCTAATTCCTCTCTATCTTAGCTAAAACTATTTGTGAATTCTACATAGTTTTGTCAAAAATTTTTATATGTTTATAATTTTTTTCAATATATAAAAGGCAATCAGTCCAGCAATCAAACCGTTACAAAGATTTGGAAAAAGTCTCCTGGTTTGTCTTTTGTGTCACAGGTAGATTTTGAGGAAGTACATACGTAGTGCAGTAGCTTTCCTGAATCTGGCATGACAATGGATATAGATGTTTTGGTAGATCTCAGCTTTAATTTGATAAATTTAAATTTGATAAATGTAATAAATGACCACAATTAAAGATCATGCATATATTATAATCCACTGAAAATAGTCCCAAACCATGTTAATTTTATGATATGACACTACAAACACAAGCACAGCAAACAAATTTTATATCTGAGAAAGCATAAATATTGTCTAAGCTATGACTAGAATTAACATGTCTGCACAGCACTTCCTCCTCTCTGCTAAAAAATCTAAAAAGAAAGTCAGATTTCTCCATTAACAACTTCCTTGTCTGAAAAAAATTTAGTTAGTGTAGTCTTCATGAAGGGTAAGATTGTAACAGGGTATTAGAAACCACAAGTAAAGACCGCAGCTTTTAGGGAGAATGGGCCTTTGCTTTGCAATGTCTCTTTAAGATTTATTACAGAAAGATAAGAAAATATATGTGCTTTCACTTTTTCAGCAGTTGACATAAAATATAATTACTGTTTTTACAAATCTCACTTCACTGAAATCCAATGCAGCAATACCCATGTTGTATAACAATCCTTAACTTGGTTACCTGGTGGAAGAACACGACAGAACCAGCAGGATCTCATACAAGATTGCTAGTGTACCACCCGTAATAACACTCCCACCAAACTTAAATTGTTGTCCCAGCTTGACAACTAAAAAACAAGGAACTAGCGGCATTAAGGCATCTGAAACTTCAAGCTACAGAATGGCAGTTGGTGAACTTGCATTATTTATGAATATAAAAAATGTTAGGTTTTTTGACATGTTTCTACTGGATGCTCACAAGAGGAAATCTAGCATGCCTTTTAACCAGTCAGTCTACACATGTGCAAACAAATCTTCAGAGGAAAGAAACATATGCCTCAAAGTTGGAATAACAGTACAAACAGTAATTTACAGTAAAATATTAAAATACTTAAACACAGATTTGTCTGTGCCTGTGTCCAATTTACAGCAATGACATGATAAACAAAATGCAATATGGCAAGCGTCAGCTTTTTGATGTATTCGACCCAGTTTCTGAAGGGTTCCATCCTTCACATGGTCATTATAATGAAATTAGTTTGAACAAGGAAAAGTAATTTCTGTATATGTTGGGTTTCAAGATCTCTAATGCCCAGTTTCTGATTTCCTAATGTTATTGAGTAGCAAAAATGCACTCAAGTTATCTATGATACTATATTTCTCTCTCTCCTAATTTTAATACAGGCTAGCAGTGCATTAATTTGCAAATGTAAGTTGATGTTTGCAGGTATCTTCATCGAAAAACTCATATTCTACTATGAAGTATTTTCATCATATGGCTGGATGGACAGATAGAATGCAGTCAAATAAGCAAGGCATGAACCAACAAATCAGCAAGCACATGTCCACTCCACTATAGTGCATTCTGTTAAATAGCACATTATAATTTTAAAGTCAGAAAAAAAGGGGCAATTCTTCCTTTTTTCTTTTAATTAGCAGAAATAATCCCTGCAAAAACCAAAGAAGAAATATCATATTTTAGCCACAGCACGAAAACTTCATACTCTTCAAAAGATGTGCTTAATTTTAGACATAAATCGTTTTTGTTCCAGTAATTTCTGCATCAGATTCTGTAACATGCATTTTGAATGCAGATTATTAAATATTTTCCACTTTTGAAATCTACAAAACAATACTCTGCCTTCCTGATTCTCATTCTACTCTACAGGCCACCACTTTGGTGTTCGAACCATTCCATGGACTTTCTGATTGAAATGGACTTTCCCATTGAAAGGTTAGATCAGAGAAATTTTCCTTTACTGTTTTCTTTATGATGATTTCATTTAATAATTAGTTTTGTTCCAGCCTCTATTTGCATTCAATTTTATGTCCTGGTGCTCTGAATCAGTTCTGACTCTGACATTACCTGTCAAGAACATCAAGTCAGTCCTTGCTGCTTCCCAACACTTTTGCTTGCTGACCAGACCACTGTCTTGTTTCCATCTGGCTCTTGAAAGTAATTCACAACCCAGTGTCTTTTCCATGCACAACTAAACCCTGTGGGATTTTTCCCAAATAACTCAACCCTTTAAAAATGAGCCTTACAGTTAATATTTTGAGAGGTCTTTAGATCCAATAGAGAAATGTTGCTAGTGATGCAGCAATTCACAGTTCTTCAATCTCCTTCTGAGTCCAAATCATTATCTTAGCTTGTCTTCTACGCCAAGAAGCACATGCTACTTTCTGTGGAGCCTTCTCTTACACTCCACACGCCTTCCTGCCTCGCATGCCATTTCACGTAGGATTTCAGAGCTAACACAGTGTGACAGCTATCTACACTCCATACACTTTGGCACGAAGCTGGCTTTTCTCAGCTAAGTGCTTTGTCAGAGATTTCACCCTGGATTTGAAAATGATCTCTTTGCTTGGGCTCAGTCCCCCCAGACACCACAGCTTTCAGATGCTTTATCTTCATTTCTGTGCCCTGCCTGAAGGAGCATTACTGGTACATTTCCCTCCTACTTGGACTGCAGCACTTTCAGCAACACAGCAGCCTAGCTGGCTTCCTCTTCAGTTACGTGAAAATCACTGAAAATATGAAGTGCCTCTTAGATCTCGTCAGACGTAAAACAGCTGCTTTCCTGTGCCAGACACACTATTACAGATACAGGAAAGCCGAGTTTAAGCCTTTTCCAGCTGTCCTCCGCATCTCCAGTTTCAACACTCGGAGAACTTTCACTGTTACATCTTTCCACTCGCGGAGGTTTTTTGAATGTTTGATTTTTTTTTTTTTTTTTTAATTTCAATTGTGTTTTTCAGGAGTCAGAGCGAAGGAGTCTGACAGTTTGGAGTCTCGTTTAGTTTCCAAACGAACAGGATGAAACTGACCACATGAAGCCATGGTCACAAGCGCCACTACCGGGCAGAAGGGAGAGCGGGCACGGAATTCCCGGGCCGGGCCCTGCTGTCCCCGCGCTTCCCGCGCCCCGGCCCCACTCACCGCACGGCGCCGCCGCCGCGCCCGTGCCCGTGCCCGAACCCGCCGCCAGGGGGCGCGCCAGCGGCCCGGCCGCGCGCAGCGCCTCGAGCACGGCGTCGGGGCGCGGCGCCACGAGCCGCTCCCAGAGCCCGCGCGTGAAGAACTCCACGGTGTGCGCGCGGCACAGCGGCAGCGCGCGCCGCACGAACCGCGCCGCGCGCCGCAGCGCCCGCGCCGCCGCCGCCGGGGGCAGCTGGGCCGGGAGCGCGCGCGACGGCCGCGACATGGCCCCCCGCGCGGCCCGTCGGCGCCGCGGCGCTGCTCGGTGACGTCATCTCGGCGCGCGGCGCCGGCAGCGCGGTGGTGATGGCGGCGGCGCGGCGCGACGGGGCCGGGCAGGCGGCGGCGGCCCGCGGGCAAGGCCGAAAGCGGCGGTGGAGGCCCGAGCTTCTGCGCAGCGTTGTCGGCAGTATCCAGGAGGGTGAGCCGGGGCCGTCGGTGGGCTTGAGGGGGCGTCGGAGGAGGCCCGACTCCCTGGTCGGACTGCGAGCTGGCTCGACCCGAGCGTCCCGGCTGGGGCCAGCCCTGCCAGGCTTAGCGGGGATTTGGGCTGGCGTAGCCCGCAGCCCCCCCCTCGTCCCCAGGCATTCGTGGTCGTGGGCTCGGGGCTGGGGGTTGTAGGGTTGGCTGAGGGCGGCCTGTCTGACCTGGAGCTGCCGGGGCTCGGGATTGCAGCCCCTGGGCCGTGTGGGGATGGTTTTCGGGTTTAGGACTCGCTTTGAGTTTTCTTCATAGAAAGGAGTGCATTTAGGAAGGAAGCATGACTGAGGAAAGGTTATCGATAGGCAGTTATGCAGAGGAATAAATGTAAACATGAATAGGAAAAAGAGCATTCAGCACTTTGCTGAAGCGGCAGCTTTGGAAAAAGAAAAAAAGAAAAAATTGGAACTAATTTGACTTCCTCTTAGAAACTGTTTTGTAAGTGAATATTATTACAGTCAGTAGATCATATGACTAATGCAGTAAAAAAATAATGTATTGGGAAAAAAGCACGTTTAATTTCAACTTTCATAAGTTTTCTTTAATGGTCGAGACTGAAACAGCCCATGTCTGAGCTTTCCTTTAAGCAGAAATGATTCTATGATGTAGCTGTAGGAAAGCTCTTCCTAGACATGTGTAGAAAATAAGTAGTAGCAATAAAACACTATTTAAGTGAAAAGATGTAGTGGATTATTGATGTAGAGTGATATGATGATTTAGTGACTTTTTCCCCTGTGTCACAGCTGATTCACGCTTCTGCTGCCGCTGCCAGTGTTATTGCCAGTGTTTTCTTGAAACTGCCTTTAGGAGCTTATTTTGGAACCTATTTTGGTATTGCTTTAGAAGCTGTCAAAATTAGGAGTGAAGTGAAATGTTAATACATCTTTTCACTGCATTCAAAAAACATTGGTAAAGGTGCATAGTGGTGAGTGGGCATTAAGTAGGGATGTTTGCAATGCTCTCCCAGGGGTTTAGGCAGTAATTTTCAGTAAATCTGTGCAAGCTGCAATGCTGCAGTAGGGAACAACCTAATAATAGGGGTTTTTCCTTGAATTTATGACTGATCTTTATTAAAATTTCCACACGTAGTGACTTTTTTCAGTTTGGAAAGAAAACAGATTGAAAGGTTCCTGACAACAGTTGAATGGTTTGGTACTATTTTAGTGCAGGTGTATTTAACTCCCTTTTTCTTGTACTTTCAGGACGAGGATTTGCATTTCGGAGGAAACAAAAGATCGAACGACAGTACAGGAAATTACTGAAAAAGAGAAGACCAGTGTCTTCACAGCAGGATGATCAGTTTACTGATACCTATCCAGAGCACTTGAAACATCTTTACCTTGCAGAGGAAGAAAAGCTTAAGAAACGGCGCAGGACTCAAGATGATTCAGTGTCATCAGAAGAAAAGCTTAATAAAGCAGCAGAGTAAGTTTTCAAAGTATGTCTTTTAAAAAAGTAATTTTTTTCCATCACTAAAGAAATATTTTAGATCTTAACAGTTCATGTGGACTTTAGTGTGGTAATTTGCTTTATGCTAAAAATGCCATTATGTCTTAAATATTTTTCCTGGTTGTTAGAAAAATAAATGGCAGTTTAACTAGATTTTGTACTGGAGACAATGAGGCGTCATTTCCAAGTATTGCCACCAGATGGAGATGAGAATAAAGCAAATTTTTTTCTGATTTTTTCCATAAGACAGCGGTATTTCTAAATGAATGTTCTTGTCTCTCTGCAGTTGCTTCCGTTTGTTGGAACTAGAAAGAGAGAATGCAGCTCTAAGCTACTATGTTCAGGTTTTCTAGCTCTGAGGAGCTTGAATGATGGGGAAAACTCTTTTAGAGAGTTTTTAAGCTTCAGGAAACATCATCTATGTGAAGATACAGTACATAAGATGTATGCATTACTAAATGATACGTGCACTCTGGTCTTTGTTGCATTTGTTGTGTTTTCTTGCTGACTGCTCATGCATGGCCTGGAATGGTGTTGGGTATCATGTAAGAGTGGTGCAAACAACCCATTCAGTGTAGAAGGATGAGTGCTTTGAAACCTATGTTTGTAGTTATCTTCCCTGAATATGCAAAAAGCAGTGGAAGACTGTGCTGTTATTCTGCAGTGGCTGTGGTATCTATGGTTATGGTCTGCTTGATGATAATCAGTGTCTCAGGAATGTGTACTTTTCCTTCCAGGTCATTTGTGACTCAAGAGAAGTTTAGAAATAAAACATCCAATCAGAAGGCAAAAGAAGAGTATGAGAAAGTAAAGGCTGAGCATGCTAGAAAGAAAGAGGTAAATCTTAAACAGACTTCTTTCTCGATTTGAAACAGAATCTAGATTAATACCATTTCTACCTCTCAGTCTTTCATCTGAACCCAGGGAATACCATAGCAGGTATTGGAACTCTTTCAGTCTTTTTCAACTTGACAGTGGTATTCAGGCACATAGGCATTCAAAGGATCATTCTCTTTGTTCTTACAATTTTTGTCTAGCAGTTGCTGATAGCAGGATTTTATTATGTCAGTTGGTACATCAAGAAAAGTTTAGAGCTTGATCTACATACCCCAGTGCATTGGGGAAGTAATAACAATATCATCGTCTTTTGATGAAAAATGAAATAGCCGTCCTGTTCCTTTTGGCATTATCATAATGCAGTTTTCATTTTACCTTTTTGTGTACTTAGACCATTAAAAACAATTAAATGTAATTGTATCCACAGTCAAAATTTTTAGTCATTCCCTTCATTCAAATTTAATTGGAATTATTTTTGCAGGACATATTGTAATGCCATCATTGTTGAATAGCTCACTTGAATTACTAATTTGAGAGGTCCTTATTTAGTTTTTTTTCTCTCCCAGGACATTGTTTGTTGCACTGTAAAATGGCACACTGTGTAACAATGTAGAAGTTGAGTAACTTCTTGGTGACACACTAAATTTCAGTGGCTACTGTATAAATATTATATATATATAGCTGTATGAAACATACTGTTTTTTCAGTTCAGCTATATCTAGTTTCATGGAACATGTTCTGTGATTCTGGGTGAGTTACATGGTTATTCAACTGATGGCTGCTTTTTTGCATATTAACTACAGATTGTGTCAAAAGAAATTAATATTATGACCAGCTTATTTAGAAAAGATGGGGACAAGCAAAACCCCAGCAAGACTTTAGGGAGTTGCCTGAGTGCAGGTGATGACATTTTTAGTTTTGTTAAAGATAATTAGGCAAAACAGGAGCTAAGCACCCCAATAGCAGTAATCGTTTAGGTGGAGTACTTAAGTGGAGCATGATGAAAAAGTGAAAGTATGTATATCATTGTCGTGTATTAGCAAACAGTGGATTTTGGCCTCTTCAAAAGCCTTTTTTGGCCTAAAAAAACCTGGGATTTAGTAAATATCAGAAAAAATAAAGAATGTAAGTAGCAACTGTCTAAGTAAGATGAATGCTCTTGCTTAGAAGTAAGCATTTGGTTGGTAGCTTAACTGGATGTTGTTCACAAGAATATGCTGAACAGCAGAAAAGTTATTAGGAAGCGAATTGCAGGTAAGTTAGAGCTGATGCTGCTCTGTTTTTTTAAAAAGAGGGGAATAAATTGTGTTAGTCATTATGGTAAAATAAGTCAAGGATTCTGAATGGAGAGAGGTTAGCTGTGCATATTTGATTGTTTGGAAGTTTTTTCCCTCTTAGATTTCTCTTTAGAAATATTTCCTTGAGTTATGTCCTGTAAATTTTATATCAAGAGAGCAATTCTTACTAGTTTTTGTACATCACTGAAGCCATCTATGCTGTGGAAAACAAAAATATGATCCATAAATTATCATCTATTCAGGCATTCTGCAGAAATGCTTGCCTATGTGATCAGCATGGCACTGCTTTCAATGAATAAACTTTATGAGAAGAAATTATCCAAATGAACTGATGCAGTCTTTCAGTCTGATTTGTGATGTCCTGCATATTTTGATAAGATATGATATAAGTGAAGTAAGCCTGGTTATCAGGCTTGTGGATGCTTGTCCAAATTACTGAGTAAAATTACAACACTAAGAAAGGGGTGTGAGATGTTGGATAAAATCTGAACATAACATAGTGGTGATTATATAGTGTTGATAGTCCATCCATATATAGTTAACACTCCATTAGTAGTTTGGTTGCATATGTGCTTCATAGAAGGTTTTACAAGTGAAAGTTTGATGAGGTTTTGTGGTTTTTTGGCTAGGGTTTTGTTCCATCTCTCTTA